CTGTGAAGATGCCGGCAGCAACAAAGGAATGCCAAGTAAGCGACCCGAACCCTCCATCTACCCTCTGCTATTAGGCCCTGTACACCTTCATTGGGACCATCTCAGAGGGTACAAGGAGGGTCCTTGGAAAGATGATTTCCCTGCAGACAGTGAAATCTTTAAAAGTGGGGCCGCACTGATGCACACAATCTGGCAACATGGCCAAGCTTCTGAAACAACGCCCGAGTCAGAGAAACACCGCGATTAGCCGGTACCGGCAGCATACTCCACTTCCCCCAAGAGTCCATGAGCCCCAAACAGTATATACTTTGGCCTTAATTAACCTAGTCCCTATCTATTTGCTTTGGAGCCAAAGCATATACGGTTTGTACATGGACCCCTTTTGGGTTCATTGCAAGGGTCAGGCCATGCTGCTCCAAAAGGCGGAAGAGTACCCGAAGCCGGACGGGCGGCGCATCGGCTGAGTTTGGCTTCATGACCACAGCAAGTTTCGAGAGAGAGAGAGAGAGAAGAGGGAGAGCTTGAAACAGAGTCAACAGCCGGAAATGGCGCAGAAATCGCACCACGTCCCCCTGAACCCTATAAACCCTAAACCTTCCTGGGCCGGGGCTTTGAGAACATCATGATCCGAACTCAGCTCTGGTTGCGCGCACACCAGGTGTTAAACACGGTGATAACTCCCCATGGCCGAACATCTCTCAGTCTCAAGCATTTTTCAAATATGCCTTCCGAGAAGTAATAGAGGGGGCCTTGATTAATAACTAAGAATCGTGTTTTGGGGCGAACTATCAGTATAATACGAAACCCCAAAATAGTATTGGTAATAACTTCAGCCCCCATTTTAGCTAGTCCTGAAGCCCTGCACCACCTGCCTGTAGATCACACGGACTTGGAATCCAGCAGGTAAGGAAAATCAATATGTCGGCCATGGTGAGATTGCTTCAGACGGGTCAGACAAAGCTGCCTCTGCGGGTTCCTACCAGTTTACTCAATTAGCTAAGAACGAACCCTAAGCCCCTAAACCCCCTAAGCCCTTAAGCCCCCACAAATCGAAAGCCCTGGATCCCAAATCCTGCTGAACCCTGAAGTCCCAAACCCTCACCACGGTGAAACGAGACGAGGGGAATCAGCTACCATTCCTCAAAAAAACGCAGGGTGCGCTCTCTGAGTCTCTGAGGCTCGGATCTCACGATGAAGTCTTGCAGCTGGCTTTGGGGTATATAGGGCTACCTGTATACGTTGCATGGGCAGCTGCTCTTGGAGAAGACGCCCTCAGAGGCTCAGATCCGAGAGTCCGAGGTGTGTCTGAAACGTGCTCAGTGCAGTCTCAGGAACAGCTCGGGGACCTCTGCACACTAACCGGAATGGGTTGTAACTTCACGGATCATGCCAACCACATATGATTTTAGAGGGACTATCGATGACCGGGCAATAGCAGTTCTTCAGACCTCTGGTATGATGGAATTACAACCAGGCAACAAGCCGGGACAGAAACAACAATTCTCGGCGCTTCCAGCATCCGCCGGACCGGTCAATTTTTGCCTAATCTAGGGTTTAGCGTTTAGGTTTAGGGCGCTGTGACCCTATCTAGATCTTGATGCGATCGCCTATAAAAGAACAAGCAGACACAGCCTCTTTGCATCTCTAAACTATTCTCCGACTTGGGCTTTGCAAGTAACCAGCATCCACATCTTCCCTCACTCCCTCACATCCCTACACCCTCACAACCCTTCAGCTGCCCCCGAGATGGGGGGGGGGAGGGTTGCAAAGACATATTACCAGACTTGACAAGATCGCAGGAGCCTCCGTTCGGGCTTCAAGCTACCAAACATATTTGGCGGATTTTCGCGGCTTCTGAAATTATCGAGAATGTGGACTCGTAGGAAACCACGAAGCCTGCAAGAAAACCAGTCCCGAAATGTCGTGACGACCTGAAGGCCACAGAAAGCCGGAAGCACGGAAAGAGTGTTGATACTACCGCGCCCTCATAGCCCGCTGCTGCGTCAGCTCAGATCGTCTACAGCATGAGAGATGGTCCCTTTCCGCCATGCCTTTGCAGAGCAAGATTTGGATGAATATAAGACGATTCAATCGCCCGAAGTGTGGTGAGAAAACTGATAGGTACCTTTGGCCTTATTAAACGACATAAAGAGAGAGAGAGAGAGAGATTTTGAAAACGAAGAAGAGACAGAGACACAAACATCACTCAAACACACAGACAGGAGACAGAAAAGTCAGACTGCTGTGAATTCGTAAGGATGAACGCTTTAGTCACCAAGAAGCCCGAATACTGCACCTGGAAGCGTGACAGCAGGAGGAGGGAGCTCCGACTTCATACGGTTTACTTCGGCTCGGACATGTGGAGGTAGCCGACGCATGCTGCTCTCAACGAGATGCCTTGGTTATGGTTTTTGATGCAATCTGACCCGGTCTCCCGGAGCATCTTGAAGACTGAGTGCAGTGCTCTGCTACTGTTCTTACCGTCTTGAGTATAATTTTAAGGGTTTAGGACTTAGGGTTTATCTTGTCACGTGCTCTGCGATGAGCACGGCTGCGAGCTTTGATGGCAGACATGCTGCTGCACGACCCTCAGCTTTGTTGATACATGTTGATACTATTGACTTTGTATGATAGGACTTCTGGAAGACTTCGCTATAGAAGATTTGAGCGATTTACACACTAAGCCGCAAACCCGCAGCCGAGGCGCATGAAATTCATCCTCAACGGCCGAAACCTACCCAGGGCGATGGCCTCGGATTGGGTTTCGTGCATTTCTGCCTTGAGGAGCGCGAGCAAGTGGTCGACGTAGGGAATAAGACCTTCCATAGCTGCCTTCTTGAAGATGAAGGGCAGGAAGGTCGCGAGCAGCTCCTGGTCGTTTGCGGCCAGGAGACGCTGGCGTAGCTTCCAATCTGGCTTCGAGGTTGCACGGTGCGGGAAATGGCAGTAGGCACATGCCGTTCCCCATGGGCACACTCCACCCTTGGAGATGTACACACACACGGTCTGGTACAAAAGTGGGGGTGGCCGAAACTGCCGACTCCGAAACGGAGGTTGCCAGCAACAGCCTCAGGCACTTCTGGAATCTCCAGGCCTGGCGGAGGGGGAAGATTGCGCCAGTGGCATGGGAATGTGACTGTGTGCGGGCTTGGGGTGTGCTCCAGGAATACCGGGGCTGCGGCCACCGGTGCCATCCATCCCTGTGATTGACCTCGGCAGCATGCTTTTGTGTCGGGTCTCAGGCTTAAGATCACCATCCAACAAACCAATTGCAAACCCTAAACCCTAAGTCAGTGATGTGGCATGCCAAATCTTTTGTTCACAGACCCGGGCACGAAAGGGGCCTGGAGCGGTGCCGAAGATCACCGCCACAGAATGCTCTGCCATGGCTTCTCGGAAGCTTGGAAGCTATGGCTGCGTGTGGGAAAACGGTGAGCCTGGCTTGGGTCACTTGGCTGCGGGCAGGGAGCATTTCGGACACATCGCTGCAAGCTGATCTTCGACACGACTCGGCAAACAGCACAAGGCTCAAACCGAACCCCCAGAGACACAGAAAAAGCAGGGACCAGGGAATCTAAACCCTACGCCCGAAATCCCCAAGATCTCTAGTAGACCCTACTCAGTGACCTTGAAGCGGAAAATCCTCATGTGCTCTGCAGCCACGTGGCGGAAGAGTCGCCTCCTGACCGCAGAGCTATATCTATAGGAAACTCTAAACCCTAAACCCTCAACACGCAACCCAGAACCCTCAACTCTGAACCTTAAGCCCTACAAACCCTGAGTTACTTGGGTGGGGGCTGGGCATGCCAAGTTTGGGGGGGCGCTTAGGTTTAGGCTGGGGAGTCTAGGGTGCGGGTTGGAAGTTCAGGTTTAGGTCCTTGGGTTTGGGGCTTAGGGTTCAGAATGTAGTCTGATACCGGAAATGATGACCCTTGAGAAACATACGTTGAATCCGAAGAAGGTTCCATGCATCAGAAGAGCCTACGTGCAGTATGCCTATATAGTCTCCATTGTAGTTCCTTTTTGGGGATACCTTATAAAAACCCTTAAGATATAATTGGTTAAACCAAAAACAAGGAACTACAATGGAGACTACAGGTAGCATCCACCACATACACTTTGGGGGTTCCGGGCTGCAAGCTTTCAGATTTCGAGCTGGCGCGCTGCCCATGGCTGTTCGGGTTTAACGATGAATGTAAGATATCATGGTATGTGAGTGGGCCGTAGAGCTACCGAGAAGAACGAGATTGATGCATCATCACGAGCACAATCAGCTAAGGAACGCATCCTTTTGGTGAGATTTTGCTTGGACGCCCTAGAACCCTACATGATGTTGATCTTACACTTCCGTCAGGGAGCTGCCTCCCACGAGATGTCAACGCCGGAAGCGGGGCACCCAGAGCTTTGGTAGAGGACTTAGAGATCTCCTATTGCGTGATCTGATCGGTTTAGGGTTTATAGGGTTTCGGGTTTAGGGCTTATAGGGTTTCGGGTGTAGGGTTTAGGGCTTAGGGCTTGATCAGTTCTGCTTCACACCAGTGAGAAGTCACATTCAAGCAAGACCCGAATATAGACAAAGGGTGACGGTCATCATTGTAACTCAAGCTTAACAACGATTGCCGTCAAAGTGCATTTCACCCTATATATCAACCATACACCTCAAATGCCAGCGAAGACGCCAACAAACCCTACCTGTGGTCTCCATTGTAGTTCCTTTTCGGGGTTACCTTCTAGGATCCTTAATATGAAATATAAAATTGGTTAAACCAATAAGGGAACTACAATGGAGACAATAGGTAAACCCTACACCGCCGTTTCTGCGCTGTGAGAATCTGGGGAGAGGCGACCTGGCTACAATGTCGCCCTGAAAGCTGCGTACAAAAGAGGCCTCCTCAAGGGGGGGGATTGAGAGTCATAGTAGGGTACGGGGAATCATGCTACTTATTATGTTGCTGATTCTTGAAGCTTCTAGATTCCAAGGACCGGAAGGAGTCGAGTAGTTAGGGTTTGGGGTAACTTGGACTGGGCAGCAACTGCTCTAGAAACGGGCAATGTCTGACTAGAGCCATCCTTTCAAGAAGCTCTCGGGGAAGAACTCCGGCTTTCACCAACAATCTCGCCACCTGGGAGTTTCAGACAAACTAAGGGTCCTTTATTTTGCGGTCCTGAAAAAAAAAGGAGCCTACTATTTAGGCTACTAGATTAGGGTCCCCTATTTTCGGAAACCCCCCACCTGGCAGTGCCCATGTTCAGCTGCCACAACGAGCAGGCTCTGTCCGTCTATCCGCAGGGCGGTGAAAGCACTTGCTTCCAGCAGGAGGCAAACAATCTCGGTGTGCCCAAGGGTGCATGCAATTCCAAGAGGTGTTTGTGGAGCATCCTCGTTTCCAAAGCTTCGATCCACGTTGGAACGTGCCTCGATCAGTAAACGGACAATGTCACTGTCGCCTGTGCGGCAAGCTGCACCAAGAAAAGTGGGAAGCTCGAAGGCATGCTCTTCGTAGTGACATTCGAGATCCTCATCTTCGAGGATATTTTCGGTATCATGATCCGATCTTTCTGGCTCATTCTGATTTGGATCTTGGGGTCGTTGTAATATCTGCTCAACCCTGAAAACATCCCGGCGGTGAATAGCGTTCATCAGCTCCCACACATCTTCAAGAGACGTCCGGCAGAAGGGCAGCACGACGTGTTGCAGCTCAACAGCTTCAGCGGAATCATGCTCTTCCAGTCTCTCGCCATCCTCCAAGATACTGCCATGGCGGAGCAGTCGTTGTCTAAAGCGACTTGCACCACAGATGCTTGCCAAATACTGTTTCAATGATTTTACAACGGGCTCGGACAAGTCTTGCATTCTGGCGCGGGCCACTTGCTGCCCAGAGACCCCAGTTATTTCGAGCATGCCGCGAGGACGGCACTTAGGATGATCCAACCTGTCGCATCCATGCGACGTCACTGTCCAGGCACATAGCAGAAGGCACGGAGGCGCGTTCTCTAAAAGCCAACAGCTTCGAACACAACGCGACTTACACCCGAAATCTGAACACCAAGTCAGTGCCCCAGGCGCTCAGCCACAAGCACTGTCTATCTTGCCCTGAAACCCTAACCCCAAAACCCTAACCCCGAACCCCTAAACCCTGAACCCTCCCCCGAACCGACCGAAACGTCGATGTAGCGCTGAAAGCTCGACCACTGGCAGAGGCGCCTTAGTGATTCGATAGGTTCCGAGCTAGCAACACATGGGGGGGGGTCAGGTTTTAGGGTTTTTGGGTTTAGGGTTCAAGGTTTAGGGGTCAGGGATTTAGGTTTTAGGATTTTAGGGGTTTCGGGCTTAGCACATCGGCCGTCAATGCTGTAGTTGGAGCAGGCTTCCAGCATAGTCTATCATAAGTATGTAACTTCAGGCTAACTCAAGGTCTTTACAAAGGATAGCTAGACATCCTCCCTTACGAACATCCTTTCTTTCGGCTGAGGGCGTTGAGAAAGGTGGGACATATAAGGATGATGTAAGACCTCCACATCACTCCGGCTGCAGGTTGCCAAGGATTGCTGAGCCCCGAAACTAGGCCCTGAACCTCAAGCCCAGAACCCTAAACCCTGAACCCCTACACCACAAATCCCTAAATCCTAGACCCTAAACCCCTAAAACCAGAACTCCAGAGGGGCTTCTGCAGCGGCCGCAGAGAAGAAGGCGTGCGAGATGCCCCCTTGCTGCAGGGGTGTCATTTAGAATGGGCCTTTGGGGGGTATAGTACAGTATGTGTTTTCGCACACATATGTGTGTGTGTATGTATATATATATATATATCTAACATATGTATACAGGTATAGATGTGTACACAAACAATAATATACATACCAACATACATGCACACATACAAACATACATGCATGCATGCATACATGCATCCATCCGTCCATCCATCCATGCATGCATACATACATACATACACATATGTGTGTGCCTATGTATGTATGTGTGTATGTATGTATGTATGTATGTATGTATGTATGTACGTATGTGTATATATATATCTAATATATACAGATCGACAGATTTCGATAGATGGATAGATAGATGGATGGATGTATACATATGTTTGTGTACACATATGTGTATGTATACGTGTTATAGTGTTATATATATATATATACATACATACATACATACATACATACATACATACATACACATATATATATACACATACATATATATATATGTATATACATATATATATATACACATAAATATATACATATATATATATATATACATATATATATATATATTTATAT